CTTCTTTATTTTGGGGAAAGATTTTTGAGTATGTGTGTAGCCTGTTTTCACCATGCACATACATATATGCATGTATATGGAGAGAAAGCAGCATCAAGATGGCAGCAGTGCGAGCAGTCAGGAAGTGACTCTGTCAGCATTACTGTAAGAGCTGTTTTGTTCGTGATGTTTTCTACCCCATCTGCACACATACGGATTGCTTCACTCCCATGACAAGTCCATTGAACTCCTGCCAGACTTTATGATTCTGCACTGACCCACTAGAGTTCAAAATAGATTATTCTGAAGGTAAAAAAAAAAAACCAACAAAATACTACCCAATGAATATAGAGGCTCTTATTTATTCCATCTCATCTTTGTTTTAATGTCGGTGAGAATGCAAATACAATGGAATATAAAATTGCACTTTCCAAATGCAAACTCATAGTTTGAGAGTCTGGGGTAAGATACCATTTCTGCTGAAGCCAATAAAAAATTTTTAGTGACTTTATTGAGACAGGATTCCATACCTTAATATGCTGTAACATTAAACTGAGAGCTGCTCTGAATACCAAAGTTGATTTATTGGAAAGCAATACCAGGGCATGTCATACCTAGTCATTAAGATTACCTTGGGCTTATTATCACTCTTTCTGTTAACTGAACTTTAAAGATTCATATTAGATGGCCGTTCATATTAAGGAGCCCTGTTATAGGCAATCATGTGCTTCATACATTGTGCTGCTATTTAAAGAAAACTCAGTTGATATTCTTTATATCCATTACCTAAAAAAACCCCAATGGACAAAGGCAGAATGGGGGAAGACATATATTCTGAACTATCAAACCAACTCCACACCCTATGCTTTCTTAAATACTGGCAAAATGATTTTTTAGCTTCTTTTACAATCTGTTCCCAGAAATTATGATTTAATTTATAATCAAGCCAAAGCTGGGCTTCACTGAAGACAAAATATATTTTTTTAAATCAACAAAATGCAGACGTTTTATTGATGATGTTCACGCATGATGATATGGCGACTTCTTAGAACAGCTGTCAGAGGAGCAGAAATAATAGCGGGTGTTAATGTGAAAGGCTGAACTGATGACAGTGTATTTGCCCGCACACTTCCTGAGCTGGTATAGTGTAGGAAAGCAGTTGCTTGGAAAGTTGTCATTATTTCCTCTTGTGTTGTTTAGAACAGACTTAGGTGTTACCTTCAAGAGGAACTGTCGGTCTGTGGCAGTACAGCCCTTATTTTCTAGTGAACATGCGAATATAGTGGGAATTGTCTCCTGTCTGCTTGGGAAGTGACAGCTTTCAGCAGAAATACTCAAACTTCTTCAGTTAAACATAGCATACAGCTAAAGACTGAGCTAATCTTTCATTTCTAGTTGCTTTTGTTTTGTCAAGACCTTTTCAACTCATCAGTGATACAATCTTTAAAAACACAAATACTGTGGCTCAACCATGATTCAAGGTCCCAGGACATGCTCACTTCGTCCTCTAAGGACCTCCACTCTTTTCAAACCACAAATGTGGGGAAGGAAAATCGCCCAAGTAGCATGAAGCTGAGGTAAGGCCATATGAAAAACTCACCCTTTGAAGGGACCTTTCTACAGCAGGGACCTTTCTACAGCATTTAGTGGGCTTTGGATCGGGTGTGTGGGACCACAAAGTGATTATAAGTGTTTTTTCAATCCTTCCTTTCAGTTGTGGATGAGCACTGACATGATTCTCCTTGCACCAATCCCTGTTGGACCAATCCATTCCCCCCCCCCCATCCATAACTGTGTCCCCACTAGCACCAGCCAAAACTAGACTTTCTGTTGGTCTCAAGTCTTTGATTACATTTACAACCACCAATAACTAACTTAGGTCGTCCTCTCTGTTGGCAGCACTATTTTTAGTTTGTATTCCTTTCTTCTGCTCTTTTGTTTTGTTTTTCTGAAGTATATGGGTTTGTCTTAATGTGACATCTCCATGCAAACATATGCATCTGAGGAAGGCAAAAGAGATTTATTGCATTTTGGCTAATACAGAGGAAAGGGGAAATTGCCTACATAATGAAACAGGAGATTCAGTTTTAACTATGTAATTTCTCTCTTGTCTCCATAGTACTGAATACACAAATATAAAATAGATAATCTACCTCCTCCTTCAAACATATCAACGTACAATTAAAACCCACAAAGCTTGACAACCTGTTGTCAAGTTGTTTAAGCAGTTGTTTCAGAATCTGACAGACAAACTTATAAACAAAACGTAGAGCACCAGATTGTGGGATGAGGCAGCATCATCACGTGGCTTCCTCAGTGATCTCAAAATTTGGAAAACAAAAAAAGTAGAGGAATACTTTTTCTCCTTGAATAAATAACAGTTTAATTACATTATAGAAATAAAATATGGTATGGTAGGAATACACTGGAAATCTTACAGAAATACTATTCTGCTACGGGTAGGTAAATGGTCAAAGCTACTTTTCATGACAATCTGAACAGTACTTGTGTACAAACTATTATACAGGTTGCTAATGAAAAATATTGCAGCAGTTGCAAGGATGTTACCAGCTCAAACAAACATCTAATGATACAATATTCTTCTAAGAGGAAGTAATAATGTTAGATTTACAGACAATAAAGAGTTATGTTCTCCACCTTGAAACACTGGAAATAAAAAGCTCAGGTAATCCAATTTCTTTACCCAATATTATCGCAAGGAAATATTTTCCTTTCACTATGAAACAGCATCCCAAAAGACCCTGTAAACAGTTTATTCAAAGGTAGTATTTGAGATGTCACAGCAACTTCAACAAATGTCCTAGTCTACAATTACAGACTTTTTAGGCCACTGCTTGTACAGATGACTTTTTAAATTTTTCACTTATTTACATACATTCAGCCCAATAACAGCAGGTAAAACGCGCTGCCTATCTCACAATAGACACACTAAAATTTTCATCGAAAGGCCAGTGCAAGAAGATGTGGATAGTGATTGCACAGCATTGAGGAGATTATATTACACAAATATACAATTAAGACTGTTGAGAATCTAACTCTGCACGCACGTGACACAGATGGTCTTCTCGGTAGATACGCGACACTTGGAGTTGGTACGTGTACGTAACGGCGACTATCGCTGGTTGGTTGATGGTGGTGGTGTGGGTGGCCATGGAACACGGCATCGTTTGGCTGTGCTATCGCTAAGTGAAGGTAGGCAACTGCAAATTAGGAATACCGAAAGCTGAAGTGTAAGTACAGCTTATCTTGGAACGGCAGCGGATTTTTCTAATGAAAGAGTCGTCCTACTTAGTGCCGCAACGCGTAGGGAAATTGTTGCCACCTCTTTAATAAATGGTTCTAAGTGAACCGACAGAGTTCCCAGAGCTTTACAAAAACTCATTATGCAAATGAAGATACTGATGATAGATGGTAACATTTCACAGGATGCTATTTCTTATTATATCAGTAAGCACCAAGTTAAGTGCCAACAGCCCCATTGTCCCATGATTTATCATGTAAAATTTAGAACTTGAACGCACAACAAAAGTCCACAAAGTTTGCATTTAATTCACAAGAAGACAAGAAGTTTCAAAAATGGCTCTTAAAATACCTTTAGATTTCAAATGGACTTTCCCCCACCTCCTTCAAGAGGACTGCTTTAGGATGGACTACACCCAGCTGGGAGATAAATCTTTCTGAAGGAGGACTTGCATGTCCTCTGGGAATCCTCTGCAATCCACCAGTTTTGGCTGACTGCCGTGGCCCTCGCCATAGCGTGGTGCCCTGTCCTCTCACCCAGGAAAGCTGCGGGGCAATGGGGTGGAAGAGGAAAGTACCCCCGTGTCCTCCAGCTGCTCCTCAGCACCTCATCCAGTGAGATCTTTAAAATAAGCCACCCTTCAGCAAGCCTGAGCTTGAAGCCACTGACAGCCCTGCAGAGCCGCCAGCCGAAATCAGCTGGGCCACCTGCGCTCCTGACTACTCTGAGGTACCAGAAACACCATGGGGACACCACGGCGGCCAGAGACCCCAGGGCTGCTGCCCTGCTCCCTCCCTACACAACGCAGAGGACGGACGGCAGGGCAGCATGGACATGGCTCTACGGAGGGAGTCACCCCTCTCGTGACAAGCGTCAGGCAGCTGACGAGCTGAGCTGCCTTTGCAGCTATTTTGGCAGAAATCAGCCAGAAGAAGGGTGAGGAAACAGTCCAAAAAAGCAAGGCAGCAGAGAAGAGGACCTCAGACCTTCTGAGTCAGAACGGAGTTACAGCATATCCGTGCCTCAAAGACTATCTGGTAACATGCTCCTTGAGAAAGTCCCAGGCTGCAGAAACAATCCCACCAGGGAACAGAGGCACCATTTCCCTTCAATACCTTCTCCTTCCTTGAAGCTGATGGTATCAAACCTTGTCATCCATATCCTGGTTTCACAGTGAGACTCACCTCATTTCAAGCAATCAGATTTGAATACTGACAGTCTTAAACCAAATTATCATTTATTTCTGGCTTTTCCAGTTTTCACGAACACCATTGATAGCCACTGCAGTTGTCAGTGCAGGCTCATGCCATGCTCTGCCTCTCATTTCCCCTTATTCTCAAGTACAACTGAAAGGTTGCTTTCTCTAGCACATAGATACACTCCTCAGAGTGGATCGGATGTTCTTAATACGGTACCTTCCTCAGTAATCAGTTGGAAGAACTCAATTTTAGAAACAGAATTTGTGTGCAAAGCGTGCAACAAGAAATACAGTTTACATTTGGTCATAGTGACCTATCTTAGTTATGCTACCATGACTCACACCGATTAGTATACTTACACACACACGCACGCACACATACACACACGTACACACACATAGATATTTATTTATATACACGCTCACACAATAAGGAAATGTCTAAGTCTGACAATATTTCCTCCTCTTTTAGTGAAGATGGGAGTTTGACATCTCAGGCTCTGAATCTGCTTAAACCTGGGATACAAGAATGCGACACACTTGAATTATACATCAACTGCACAGTGATAACATCGCACATTGAGTCTGACACATGCTGTCTTCAGTGGTCCAGCACCAGCACGTGGCTTAAAACCAGTTGCCTGTTAAAGGAGCTAATATCCAGCACCTTCGCCTTTCAGTGTTCATAATGCCCGAGAGCAGGGCGATAGTCTGTACAACCAGAAACGTCCTTCTGTATAAACGCAGTGGTATATAAAAGTCTGAACCAGTGCATTCCTCTCTTAACATTCCTCCTCTATTCCTTTGTTGCTGTTATTCTCGAATGCATGTGAAAGTAAAAGGCAGTGGGGAAATGATTTTAGTAGAAGAACACAAAGCCTCTCCTCTAAGTCCACAGAAGACCACTAAAAGTGTAAAATTTCCAAAATAGCTCATAGGAATTCTTCAAATACAGTAAGTGTTTTCAATGGGGTTTACATATCACATTTCACATTATTTCCACGGAAGTCTACCTTATCACTTTGTTTAATCAGACAAATATCAATAACACATAATAAAACAGCATACGATTCACAGGACACGACACATTTTACAAAACCTCTAAAACTCAGCACTGCCGCTTTTGGAAAAAAAATCAAAAACTCCTAGTACTTATGGACATGAAATACACTTCACATTGAAATGAACAGCATGATTACAAGGCTTTTTTCCTTATTTGATGGTATTGGTTTTGGATGCATTAGTTTTCAATTAGGTTTCACAATTTTTCTTCACACTCCCAAAAGGAGCATTGCTAACCTGGTATTTTCTCTGTGCTCTTTCAGGAAACTTACTATTATTCAGCAAACACTTTTTGAGAAAAAAAACTGTAGAAAATTTAGCTTGAATCCCTAATTGTAAAACCTGAAGGACTGGCTGATGGCAATGCTCTTAACACAATCATCGCTCAGCTTACAATGACAAACCAAAAAAATATTACAGGAGGGTACAAACACGTTAAGCCACGGGTTTGGTTTTCTCTGTTGTTGATTTTTTTTGTTGTTTGTTTTTTTAAAACTAACTCCCTTTTTTCTCACAACACTGAGAAGTCTCTGACTTACAACGCTTCAGCAGTCGTGTCTGTGGAGACAGACATGGTAACTTTGGCAATCTTAACTGTGCTCTTAATGCAGCTCTCAGCAGCCCTGTGCACGTTCCCTGCGTTGTTGGCGTGTTTGTGCTGGCAGTCAGACTCCATGCTGTTGTCAAGGGGTTGCGCCGTCCCCTCGCAGGTGGGGAACATGCTGCGGAAGGCGTGTCGCAAGTCCTTGCTCCTCAGAGCATAGATTATGGGATTCACTGTTGAATTCAGCAAACAGAGCATGCTACAGAAGGCAAAGACAGTCTTGATGAGCTTGTTCATTTTCCCAAAGACGTCGTACACCATGATGGCAAGGAGAGGGCCCCAGCATATGATTAAAACGACTAGGATAAGGACCAAGGTTTTGGCTAACCTGATGTCCATACGAGTTTGATCAGGCCTAGTGATCTGCACCTTACCATCCTCCGTAGACTGAATGATTATGCTTTTCTGCGTGCCCCGCTGAATCATGCGAACAGCGTGGCTGTGAGCCTTCCACAGTATGTACATGTAGGCATAGACAATGAACAGCAAGAGGACGCTGGTGACCCCAATCCAGAACATCAGGTACGTCTCGTCGATGAGGGGGAATATGTCCGAACAAACGGAATTGAGCTTTTTGCAGTTCCAGCCGAGCAGGGGAAGAACGGCTATTACAATAGCGATGGTCCACATCACACAAAATGCTACGACAGCTTTTGGTCGGGTAACAATCCTTTTGTAAGCTAGCGGCCTGTGTATAGATATGTACCGGTCTATTGCCGTCAGGAAAAGGCTACCTACAGAGGCGGTGAAGGAGGCTGTAACTCCACCCAGTTTGAACAAGAAGACATTGGGGCTGTCCTTCCGGTGGAAAACATGGAAATCCACAAAACTGTAGACAAAAATCACGCTGCCCAGGAGGTCAGCCACAGCCAGGCTGCCGATGAAATGGTAGGAGGGTCTACACCGCAAGCTTCGGGAATGGAGGATGACGCACAGGACAAGGAGGTTCTCTAGGACCGTGAAGGTGCCCAGGGTGAGTGACAGCACAGCGATGGCCAGCTGCTGGCTGGGGTTCAGGATCATGAAGCACTCCATATCCATGAAGTTCTCCCCACACTGTATGTTCTCCTCATTATCCTTAAACGTGGACAGGGACTTATTGTAAAACTCTGTGATGTTGACCTGATCTGAGGGAATAATGCTCAGCAGGGGGTCATCTCCCGCAGTCATTTTTTCTTGGAAAGGATCACCCCTGAAGGAAGAGAGAGGGAATTTCTGGGGGTAGTATCCCAGCTTGGATGCCATGTCGCCTTTCATGTCTTCGTACTGGATATCGTTGGAGCCCACGTAAAGGAGATCTGTTGTGATTGTTCGGAAAGTCGTATCTGCGAGGCCATCTAGGATTGACTTCATAACCCCAGTCTTGTTGGTTTCAGAGAGACTTGGGAGAGGGAAAAATGCATCGGAGGAAATCCTAGAAGGGGAAAAGATCAGACTTCATTAAGACAAAGAGGGAGACAAACTCCACAGACAACTGTGTCAAACAAAATGAACTTTTCTCTTGTACTCAGTGCAGGTCTAGCCTTTGACACCTGCAGGAATCAGGCCGAGTTGAACACTTAGAAAGAAATCACCTGGATTTCACTAAAACTGAATTACACTAAAAAGGGACATGAAAACCAGAGGTGCAGAGAACGGAGTATTCCAGAGAAAAGTAATTTTCATTTCTCATCAAAACCTTCCGAGCCGCTCCACCAGAAAGATATTTTTCTCTAGACCTGAACTTGGCTCCTGATTGCAAAGTACCTTGCAGACCAATATTCCTTGAGCTTGTTTCATTTAGATAATACCAAGTGCCACTGCAGGAGCAGCATTAAACTGAATCATCACCTTCATTGCTTTTCTTTCAAAAGGCACTGAGGGTTTTGAAAACCTGACAACAGAGAGGGAATGGGGAAAGAGCCACACATTTTAAGTTCACACAGTATGACTGTATATTCACATTACCCTGCTACAGCAATCTGAGGTCTACTAACATCCTGAATTTGTTATTGCAAGTTTATTAGCAAGGTGCTAATCTACAAATATAGAGACCAGGATACAGCTTAATTACTCTATTCCTTTCTTCTGCTAAGCAAACCAAGGCAACTGGGATGTCTGGACTCTATGGGGGAGGTGGGCTGTTAGCCCTGTCCACAGCTTCAGAAAAAGTAAGTAGCCCTGCTAAGTCAGTGAGTGCATCAGTGATCTGCTTTGCGTAGATCAAAAGCCTTGATCAGGGCAGTTCTCGGTTGCCTAAAAAACATGGCACCAAGTTTGGGTCAGAGTGCAGCTCTGTCCAAAACTGCAGGCAAACAGGACCAGGAGCCACTGCTCCTGCGAGAAGCATGGAAAAGTAACTTGTCCCATAGGGGACAACTTCAAAAACATTCTGTCCCTTCAGAAATGGGGAGCCCAGCAAAAGGTCCCCACATAGCCACTGGTCTCTTGAGTCCCGTCATGCTCAGCCTTTGCTTGTGGACAGTGATTAACTGCAGAGTGTGACTCCTGGTCTGGGTATCCTTGAGAGAGCACCCTCACCGGCACCTGAGCATCTTACATGCATTAATACGCACAACAGGTCTTAGAGCTCTTCTTATGCTGTGCTTCTTCATATAACTTTGCCCATGTAAGATGCCTTGAACATCTGCTTTAGGGCCCCTTCCACCGCCAGTGGCTCAGAGGGGTCTGAGTAGAAGTAAGAGCCAGAATCATTGCTTCGGTGTGCTGCAGCTATTCTGCATCTGCTAGGGGATATCTCAATGATTACATCAGCAACAGGCACAAAACCAAGCTTTTCCATGCCTTTAGAATGGAGGAAATTGTTTGTGACACCCAAGAAATCCCAGATGCCATATACAGGCTTGTACTGGCTTAACCTGTTCACTTTACACAACTGACAATAAAGAGCCAGCAAGGCCACGAGAGATTATCTGCCAAAACCCAGAGTACTGATCACCTCAACTCTGCAAGAGACTCGCACAGCAGATACCACAGCTCAGTTTTCCCGTGAAAACTACAAGAGAATGATTCCTCTTTACAACAGCACCATACATAAAACCAGAAGAAATCACAAGCATTTCCAGAAGCAGCAGAGATCATTTGGCTGATGAAATATTTATACTGCCCTTACACACAGCATCTGAATGCTCAAGACTTTTTCTGTAGCTCAAAGCTTTCCACTTCCTTCAGCAGGCCTGGAGGTTGAGTACTGAAGGAAATAGATGACCCCAGACCTCCCGAAGACACTGCAACTTCAGTGCAGCAAACAAGGAGTATAAATGACCCTTCCCAGGACAGTACAACACACAACACAGACACTCGCTGTGTCAGCTTTCGCAGACAGCACTGCTCAGCAAATAATAATAATGTAATTATTAGGCAATCTTAAAATATATTAATGAAATTAATTTTGAGAGTTTGAGCAGTGAGGGAGGGAAATGAGGGAAGCACACATTAAAAATGAACAGCAATAATCTAATATGTAAGGTACTTTTCTTCCAGAAGGTGCTTTACAGCTGAATTTGCAGATGTTACATATTGCAAAAATGACCCTGCTGACAACTGACAAATCTGTTTCGGATGAAGTCTGGCAACTTTATACTTGGCATTAAAACACTGGTTTGAAACCAGAAGTGAAGAATGTGTTATTCATTTGAAAACTATCCAAAAATAATTTAAATAACTCAAGTAGGTCTATAAACATGTAAAGATGGCTGTGGTATTCCCTGTTATTCCAGTTTATTGCTGACAGAAGAAAGACAAGCATTTTAATGATTAAAGTCACAGCCTCATGTCGAGAAGATTATGTCTGAGTAAAGCTTCAAAAATCATATGCAACTGAGCACTTCTGCTAGACAGACAAACAAATTGTTATGAGGTAGCGAGTCCCTGCTGGAGTCATGTTAAGTATAGGCTTCCTCAGAATAAGGTGCCAGCCACTGTGCAACCCCTGTCTTTGCTTGAAATACAAATGAAAGAACACGAATTCCTGCGTGGTCTTTTGAAGGTGGCAGTGAGTTATGTGACAATATCACTATGCATGCATATGCTATGCTAACAACATGGTTAATGGGATCAGGAGAGGCAAGTCTTACTCTGAATTTAAATTATTTTTCCCTCTGTATTTTTACATTGAGATTATTACAGTAATTTCCACCTTATTGTCTTTGCAAAGAGAGTTTTCTTTGAGAGTACTTGGGAGTTCATTAGTGGTGTAGTTTAGACTTTGGGGGATGCAGCTGACATTAATTTTGTTTTTGTTTGCTGTTGGGAATATCATAATTGGAAATTTCTAGCAGTATGTGTGCATGCACCTATTCAAGTAGCAGTTGATTTTTATTAAAGTTGCAGTAAAACAGCCATTTGCCTGATCTGAAATTGTACTTTCCTGGAATTTCGTTTATTTTAATTTAGATACTAGTTTACCCCAGTATAACAATACTGAAATGCGCTGAAGCGATAAGCGAGGTTTTCCATGGCTGCTGGTGAAAACAAGACTTGGCCTTTGGCACTGAAGTTATTGGAAGAGTCCATGACACAGTCTGAGATGTTGCATGATTTGACTTTGACTCCACAGCTGATGGCAGAAGCAGTGCTCTGGTTCCTGGTCTTTTCATTTGGAAGTGCCAGCGCCACATAAATTTTAGCTCTGAGCTCTTCTGTCAACCTGGAGTAGTGAGGAGGCACGACCCACGTTGGCTTCAACGCAACCCAAACCCATATAGCCCAAGACCCATTAACATCTCTACATTAAATACTCTTGGAGCCTTCTCACAGCCTCCCTATGGACAAGGGTCCCCTGCACAGACCCCTCCTCTCTGGATGGGGCTGTATGACAGCTCTGTGCCACAGCACAGTCCCCTCCTGGGCAGGGTGGCAGTGAGGGAGAGCCTCCCTGCTCTGCCAAAAGCTGCTGTTCCAACAGAGCCTTTGAGTCTCCAAAGCTCTCAGCCTCATCGCTTCCTAAAATGAGCTCTACTACCTCACTCTTTTTAAAGCAGCTTTAAAAAGAAACAAAGCATTGATTAAAGGTGAGGATGAGCCCACACTGATGCTGGCACTCAAAATTTCTGGTGCATTTCCATGACTGCGTTCAGCAGTTCACAGTAAGTAATGAAATGTGATTACAGATAAGAATTAAACAACAGACAAAAATTTCAAGCATCTTTTGAAGGCCAAAACCAGAAAACCCATAGCTGAATACCATTTTAGACTTTCCTCCTATCAGCCGGCTGCTTACGGGCACTGCTGGACCAGTTGTACAAAGCGACTGCCACTAGATGGAGTGGCTTTTACAGACACACTGCTCAGCTGCCTGCACAGACCTGGATTTAACTTCACAAGCTCCTTTTTTTCTAACCTGCTTTACCGGCGTTCAAACCTATAAAAGGTTAAAACATCAGCTGAAGGTTGAAGACACAACTTTGTAAGACTTTGCCCACAAAGTGAAAGAATTAGTGAAATGTTGAAGGGGTAAGTCCCCCTACTGCCCTCCACTGTGTGGTTATGTATAGCCTTAGATGCTTGGATGCTATCAGAACATGAAGACCCCTTACGTAAAATATAAAATAGATAATACATAAAAGGCTGGTAACTCATCTTGGACAACAGGGAGAATTACACCTCCCCTAGTCGGTCTACAGGACCAGTTCACTCAGGGAATAAGAACGTGACTTCATCAAAATGCTCGTACCTATCCACTCCTGATGTTCTAGAGGAGAGGGAGGACTGGCAAGTTTTTATAGTTGTCTAAAAAAAGGGCTGAATTTATTATAATTTTCAAACGAGGATGATTGATAGAGCAATTTTAATAGCCTGAATAGAAACAGTGAATATTTACATTCTTCCTCAGAAAGTAATTATGAGCAATACAATGATGCTACTGATAACTGCAGAAACATTGATGTGGCAAGAAAAGGAACGAAAAACAAGAAAGGGAAATCCAGAATCAAAACTTTCAGGCTTCTATTTTAGAAAACATTTTCATCTTCATGTCTATACATTTCTTCTATAATACCCAGAGCTAATTAAGAACAGGCTAAAGGACAAGTAGATATAATTGAAACTGCACAAAAATATGTAAAGGCATTCTCCTTCCTTACACGTTACAAGGCTTGTAAGTCTTTCAGAGGAAGGCTCTCTCTTCTGTTAAGTTTGCATGGTGCCCAGTACACCGAGACTCCTACCAAAGTGGGTCCACAAAGTACTGCCAAAGGAGAAACAGCAGTAATTTATACTCGTGTGCAGTCAGCTGAAAAAGTGCGACCGAAATGAGATCTACCAGAGTAACCGCTGGCCTCCAGGAATTAGAACTGTCCTATAAAATGAAAATTTATATGGCTAATAATTACCTTATCCCATATGGCGATGAACAATACTGCTCTGAAGACAGAACAAGGTTTCTAAGCCTTGGAGAAAGAAATGCGCAGTCTGAGAAATGGCACTCTAAGACTCAGTAACACTGAGCAAGATAAAAAAAAACCATGTTGTCGAGAATGTGAAAGCAATGTTACTCCTATCCTATTTACTGTTTTACTACTCCATCTGCAACACTGTGCTACTCCTAGGCTATAAATGGCAAATATGCTGTCACTCCTAATTCAGGAAAACTTTTATTCACTTCAGTGGTAATTTTCTCTGCGTGAGGGATAGGGAAGGAGCACTGAAGCTAGGAGAGGAGCAAATGAGGGATGCTATTATCTAGTTACATACAGCAAGGTACTACTATCAGCTATGGGGTAAACCAGGGCACACATACCAAACCATATTTTGTTCTTATGTAACATGATGGTATCTATTGCAAGTTGAACCCTGATTAGCAAGAAACCACAGCTACGTGGTTATTTATGTTAATTAACATACCGTTTGCACACTAGCAGGATAGGAGCTGGATTGTAATAATTTGGGGACAAACTGTCCCTATGTGACACCCCCCAGCATGTGACACTCTGAATGACAAAAACAAACAAGGGAGAAAACGGAGCGTTAATCACTGACGAACGATGTTTTTAAAACAATGCTATTTCTTCCCTCCAAAGTTTTGTTGGTGAGATGTGTCTACCAGTTTTAGTACAGGTGGCTCGCAGGCACAGAGAAAAGGAGGCAGTGCCTTATCTCCCAAACAGCCATACCCATGTGTCCAAGATCAGAGAGGTTCAAAAGCAAGGATGAAGTCCTGCTCTGTTTGGTGCAGGTGAAGAACCTGAATTTAGCTCTCCTGCAAGCCAGGTAAGCATGCTGCCAACCTCTCTGCTCTGCTGCCCCTCTCTCCACTGCTCTAGTTGTTCCACGTTGGATCAAAACATCCAGAAATAAAGGCACTAAGGGCTGCATGCAGGGTGCATGCCTGGCAGCTGAGAGACTCAGCTTGAAGCCCTTCCTCTGAATTAAGGGAACCAAGGATGTGCCTACCACATCCCACCCAGCTGCAGGGGGAAGAGTGGGGACAGCTGCCCCATCTGCCTATGAAAAACCTCCAAAACTCCTGAGTTCACTCGAAACCCCTCGGCTTGTGAAATACAATCCCTTACACATGCATTTCCTGCCAAGTCAGAGACAAGATGATAATGAAGTCACAAACCAGCAAGGGGACCATCACAGTCACCTTAATGGGAAGCTACAGCTACCAGCTCTGCCCAGCTTTTGGAAGAAAGGATGGAAGGCAAAGGGGCTTGCTTAAAATAACAAAAAGATTTCAATGTAGGATTTCAACATCTTTCACAGTTTACTTTACACATCTTAATTTCACCTGAAGATGTAATTCTGGGAGCTGCTGAAGAGGCTTGCTGAAGTGTGAAAGGTTCAGACTAAATGGAAACAGTGAAGGAAAAGTGAGCTGGTATTTGCTGCAAATCAGCTCCAGTTCAAGGACCCCTTTCCCAATAAAGCAGAATGAACAGGTAATACAAAAAGTTTGATACAATACTATGGTATTCGCATTTTTAAAGAAAATGGAAGAGAACCCATTAAGATGGTCGATTTTGAACTCTCAAGCTTTTTGCTTTCCACAAAAGGGTTTACTTTGGATTTGGATTTCAATATTCCAAAAAAATTGCTTCATTTCCAGCCTCATTTCTAGCCATTCTCTAATGCCAAAAGGTGCAGGCACTTATTACTGCTGAACAGAATTGACATAAATGTTAAATGGAGACAGAGAAGCCCAGCCGGGTGCAAAATAAATGGGGGCTGAACACTCAGTCTCCTGGAACTACCTAGAAGAGGAATCAGCTTAGCACACGTGTAGGAAGCCATTTGAAAGAGCAGAGTAAGACATAAAAGTCGCAGGCTCCATTGGATGCTAAATACTAAAGGTCCTCAGAAGAATGTAATGTCTAGAAGATGAAACTGGGGGAAAAACACATTTATTAGAAAAAAAAAAAAGATATAACTACTCCAAGAAAACAGTTTCCACGTAATGGCCAGAGCAGGAAAAAAAAGGTCAAGAATTTGTTGCAGCAGAAAACATCAGTGAACTTTATTAAAAGAGTACGGATTAGAGACAGAAAGGCAGCAAAATCATCAGGCTCCAGGGAGAACTCTCATAAACTGAGCAGAGTGCACGTCTGCCGCCTCCTTGCCTCACAACAAACCGTAACAACTTTTAATCAAAGACTTTGTCAGATGGCAAGGAGGTGCTGAGAGCAAAGGTAATGTGGGTTAAGCAATCGGTGTGAAGGGGAATGGGAGGAGAGGAGGGATAACAACTGTCCTCATACAGGGAACAGGACATCTCCAGGTGAGATGGGTGCAAGCCTGGGAAAGGTGAGAGAGGAAGACCCAAGTGGAAGGAGCACCTGGGAGGCAGGGGATGCAGATTTTAGGGGAAGAGAAGAATTGCCTTTGTGATCAGCTTGGAGATCAGGTGAAGGAGAAAACTCACGAGAGAAAACCTCCCTCCTCTTCTGAGCAACACTAACTTCAGACACCTCCGTAAGCTGAAGGATGAAGCCAGTGGGATTTTCAGATCTCACCGTAAAGAAAGAACAGACCCACTGCTCTGCAGGCAGTGACTTGCTCTTTTAAAAGTCCACTTCTGATCTGTATTCAAACAGCAAAGGAAGACGCAAAGGGCTGTGAGAAGCCATCCTCCGTAAGGTCACAGCAAAGGACAGCGCTGTACGCGCTGACACACGGGACCGAGCTGGGGACACGCAGGAGAGATCAGCTGAGCAAATCTGGCCAGGGACATTAATAAAAATCAAACTGCTTACGGAAAACGAAGAACAGGATACAAACCTCAGAGGTGGAAAGGAAGACAGAGAGCTCAAACAGAGCCACGGAGTGACACACATTCAGTGACAGTGGATACAGGCACTGAATGGGGAAAAGGGAAGAGGGGTTTACAGGCAGTGATAGAATGCTGGTGCACAGGAGGTCACCAACACATTGCAAAGCGCCATCCCTTCTACCTCAGTCCTCATCAACTTACTTCTCCCAAAAATTGTTAGTAGGCCACCAAGTATCGGCAGTGCTCAGGAGCTGGGACGGAAAGGCTTTTGGTAAATGCGATGTCCCACGCCATCAGCATGAGCAAAGGACAAAAATATGCACTCCAATTAAAAAATGTAAAACATTCTTTCATTTCTGGAGCTGTCTGGCCTTTCATAAAATTTAAATAAGCTCAGATAACTCTCTTCATAGCTACATTCAGAATATAATGATATTCAAATATACTGCCTTCACATACACAAACAACTTGAGAAATTATTTGCTAGCATATTAAGCCACTACACCAGATTGCTTGGCAATGGTGCATGTCTTCAAAATATGCAGATGCTTTTCTTTTTTAAAAAAAGGAGAGAAGGAGAGGAGAACTGAGAAGGAATTACAGTAGAATCTGATATCCAAGTAGCCAGAACAACAAATTGCAGAGAGACTCCAATCCATCTTACATCAGATTTGGAGAAACAGCTACAATATACTGAAGGATGAGCTATGACTTTTTATTTGTGTGTGTATGTATATATATATGTGTGTATATATATATATATTTTTTTTCTTTTTTTTCTATTCATAAACCTACAGATAGGCATACACAAACACATACATGTGCCTAGAGGAACAACTATGCAAAGACTCACAAATGCTGCAGTAGAGTTTGTGATGGATAAACTTCAATTCCCAGAGCCAGAAGACAAGTAGACAAGCTAGAAGTGTAGATACAAAAAATATAGGCAAGATGAGTGCCAAATATCTTTTTCAATTCCCTCATACATAGCCTTCCTGGGGAAAAGCAAGAATCTAAAATGACTGTATCTATCACTGAGATCCTGTAAAGATTATTTTGCATGTATACATATATACATACACACACACTTATACACATACACATACACATATACATATACAGGTACACACTCCACACCTATTCCACCTGATTTTCCAGGCACACACACATAGTCTGGACTCCAGCACTGCATTGTTTAAAACAGAGGCAGAACTGACTAAAACCAGTGATTTCTGAGAGCATGGTTCACATATTCACCACAATGGGGAGGTGGGAGCCCCCTGGGCCCCTAAGCACAAACTTTGAAAGGTTTCCTAAAATGCAGAAATAGGAAAATTACTCCAGCAAGGGCTGGAAGGGAACTGACAGTATTCCCTACAGAACTGCTCCTGCTCAGTACTTTGTAGTGAGTAAACACACCTTTCTTAAGAATATACAACTGTCATAAAAGAGGTAAACATGGGATGAGGCACTATTTGATGCCATCTAGCCTTGATCTACACAAAAAAGACAACATCTGAAAAGTGTAAAACATCCAATTTCACCAACAGCCCACCCAAAGTATAAGGACCAACATTATACCAATACACACAGTAGTGAAACATCTATTTATTTGTAATTTGGATGTGGGTAGCTTGATCAAAATAAGAATATTCTTACTGAAGAGAGGCAGAACTGGTGTGTGCATCACCATAATACCCTTGCGTGAAGCACAAACAGCAGAATAAAATGTGCTCCAACCTTATGTTGCAAACCCAATCATTTTTCATAGGCAACAATGGCACCTTCGGGAAAAAGGAACAAAATAAAAAGTTCTTTCTAACGAGAAATTGATTTATAAGTCATTATAATCATTTCAAAGGGACAGGTCGTGGCTGGTTTCAGCGATCATTAACAAAGCCACGCACTTTCAAAGAGCCCGAGTTCTGGGGGAGGAAATTCTTACCCCACTGACAGCGATCAGATGTGCACTTTTTTGCAGCGGTACATTGTCAGTCTAGAAATGGAGATGTAGAAAGCAGTACTGAGAAGACAAGTTATCACATTTTTAACTGCATTAATAACAAATGCTGTTGCTGTCTATCCTGGCACATTTGCAAGCTTGCTTTTAAGTATGAGAGACTGGTATGCATTTCCACTATAGATAGGAAAACAAGAGCAGCCTTGTTATGATTAAAAGGGTCTATTTCCCTCTGCCTTCTGTCTCCTGTGTCCATCTGCACAGCTGCTTTGAACTTGGCCAAATCCCAGTGTTATGGTCGCCCGCAGTACATATTTTAAATCAGCAGCAGACTGTGTGAATTTGCTGCTACAGAGGAGAAAGATATCCAAATTCTCACTTAAATGGTCGATGAGTGGTTTTGTAGAACATTCACCATTGTACACAGACTGAACTATTCAGGGAATTGTAGCAAAACTTATCTAAAATAATTTACTCTGTCAGGAGGAGACCTGGATGAAACCAATATAGACAACTGCAAAGAAATGAAGAGCAATCACTGTTGAGAAAAATGAATTCTGCAGATGCCTGGATAGCCAATGGCACGACTAGAGAGAGGTCACAAAGTTTGCATCAGAGAAGTTGCACTAATTTCTCTTAAAACATGCAGAAGCAGAGAAACAAGGTGAGCGGAAGACAGTGCATGAGACCTGCAGAAGCACGAATGGCAATGTATTTGTGAAAATCTTGGGCAAGACTAAGCAAAT